TAATAAGTATTAGAAAGTATTTTTGGTTGAAATGCAACCTTTCAATTTTTATTTAGCTTCAAAGTCAAGTGATTGAACAGCTGATTTTTGTGATTAAGTTGGCGGGAAACTTTTGTTGACTTTGTGCGCTTGGCAATCACACACGAAAAAAGAATTTAACATTATTTAAAATGAATTTTAAACCTCGAGGTAAGAAAATTGAGTTTAATGAAAGCATTTTGTGTAAAATTATTTTATGTGTATTATATGTGTATTGTTTTGTGTTGTCCAAAAGAAAAAACCTAACCTTTATGTTCGTCTTCTGTGGAGAAAAAAAGTCTTCTGCGTATTTCTGCAATGTGTAATGTATCTTTAACAAAAGAAGAAACTATTTAGAAAAATATAAAAAAATCTCATTTGCGGCTTTTTTGCGGCTTTTTCGATGATGACATTTTCAAGATGTGCATGAGTTCTGTCATGCAACCTTGCTAGACGTATGAATTGACAGCGCTCGCGACTCTAATGCGCTTGCTGAATGGATATTTGGCCAGATTAATGAGGGTAGACTGACAGTCGACCAGAAGGGCGAACTTTACAAAAAAATTAAAAGCTTTGAAATTTATATAAAATCAAATCTGCAAAAGTGTAGCCGTAATATGCGAACGTTCAAAAAAAAAACATTCAGAGTGGCTATCAAAGTCTTTAAAAATAGTTTTGGATAACCAAGCGGATATTCCAAATTTAACAAAGGGAAGACCAAAGCTATCTTATGAGGAAGGAGGAACGCGTCTTTGCCAAAGCACAATGTTTTAACACTTAGTATACATATGTAAGCATAAAATCTTAATGTATATCCTTTTATTCCTATTTAAGCAAAAATGAAATCCATGTTTATTATAAATAATAAAAATCAGTATAATATGTAAGATAATAATAAATATAAGTATAAAAAACGAAATCTAACTTCAGATCACGTATACGTTATGTTGTCTTCCATGGGCAGTTAAGGTAGGCGTGGCCAAACTTACTAAAAACATTGCTTAAACATTTATAGTGGTGTATTCTTAAAATATGCTAAGTTTTTGCTCGATATATACAATTTTCGATTTTATGCCACTTATTTGGCAATCCGGCCTACTGTGCATTGTCTGAAAAGACAGTGTAGACTTGCTCCTTTCTTATTAAAAACTGGTTCAGCACATTTTAAATTTTCATGCTTCATTCAGCTCAATCACGCCAAGCGTCTTTACTTCAATGCGGTGGTACCGATAGTATTGGACATTGATTCCCAATATACCCCTGTTGACCCACACTAGAAATATAACTAAATAAATTACATAATTGAGGTATCCTTGATTATGTCCTTTAAGGACATTCGATACATCATTTGAAAGGTACTGCGCCACAGATCATAAAAATGTAAGCGGTTTTTTAATAGTCCACTCAGTTCAGAAGTTATTTGCATTCAATTTTTATATTCAAGTTTTATAATAAAAATTGAATAGTAAAACTTATTTTCAAGTTTTTTAATAAAAATTAAATCATAATTTTTATTTTTATTTTTTTATAAAAATTTAAAAATAATTCTTTTACCTAATTATTATTATAACAAGAAAGGAAAGCTTACTTCAAGCGGAGCCGAAGTTGATATACCCTTGCAGTTAAAACCGGATATATATCGCAAACATCGGATATAGTTGGCCGATCCTTATGAGAATATAATAATATAGCCCAATTTACTATAGTATAAAATCTAAAAAAAAGTCCCAAACTTCTATCTTCAAAAATACCAAAGTTGGTATTTCTACCAAAAAACATATCCGATCGTTCAGTTATATGGCAGCTATAGGATATAGTTAACCGATCCTTATGAAATTGAGTAGGTCGGATTATCTGACCAAAAATATAAGCAGTACTAAGTTCCAGCTTTCTATCTTCCAAAACACGAAAGTTGGGTCATTTCCGATCAATCACTTATATGCCAGCTATAGGATATGGTCGGCCGATCCTTATGAAATTTGGCATGTCGTAATGTTTTGCCAAACAGCTCTCATGTTAAATTTGAACTCTCTAAATCAAAAAACACCAAAGTTATACCATTTCCGATCAATCAGTTATATGGCAGCTATAGGATATAGTCGGCCGATCCCGGCCGTTTCGACTTATATAATGCGTGCAAAGGAAAGAAGGGTTTGTGCAAAGTTTCAAGTCGATAGCTTTAAAACTGAGAGACTAGTTCGCGTAGAAACAGACAGACAGACAGACGGACATGCTCATATCAACTCAGGAGGTGATCCTGATCCAGAATATATATACTTTATAGGGTCGGAGATGTCTCCTTCACTGCGTCGCACACTTTTGACCAAAATTATAATACCCTCTGCAAGGGTATAAACATGGAAAATAAGAGTTATATTTCAATTTTAGCAATAGAAATTGAAATAAAAGTTTATTGTGTTTCTGGATTCACCGTTAAAAAATGGTATGTGTGTCCTTTTTCCACTCCACACAAAGGCTTTTTTGTCGTTTAATTTTTTTTTTTTTTTAATTGTAATTGTTTGTGTAATTGTTTAATTGTATTTTTAGCGGACATAGGACATAGCAAGAGGATCCGTCCAATCACGGTGACTTATGGAACATCATGCGCACCATTCCTATAAGTTCGAGTTTCCAACTGCAGCTATAATCTTAATGGAAGATTTCTATGTTGATGACGTTTTCACTAGATCTAATAGTGAGGATGAGCTGAGGCTCAATCGGGGCAAACTAATCCAACTGATGTCCTGTGCTAAGCTAGAGCTCGGAAAATGGGTATCGAATACCAAAGGAGAGGATAACACGGATCCCTTACAATCATCGGTAAAGGTATTGTATCAAGGGCTGTATTGGCACACTAAGAAGGACACATTGTCATAAACAGTGAATCTAGCAAAGAGTCCTAGCTGGACTAAGAGGGGAAGTGTTGTCGGATTGGCTCTAGTGGCATCAATCGTAGTTCAATTAAAAGTACTATTTCAAAAACTCTGTCTGTTAAATTTGAATTGGGACCACTAACTGCCGAACAACTTAGCTGTCAAGTGGCTGAAATGGCGAGCTGATTTAGACAATCTTCCACAGTTCTAGATACTGCGTTTATCGTACTCACCCGCCCAACTAAAGACTTTTATTGGGAACCGCTCCGCAGAGATCTTGGAAACCATCCGGAAACACCAACCATGTCTCTCAAATCTAAGCATGCATGGCGGCATGTGGACTCAAAATCAAACCCAGCAGATTGTGCATCTAGGGCTTGGGAGTACACGAGCTCATTAACTTCCAATTATGGTGGAAGGGTCCTTCATGGCTGATGGGCAAGGATTAATTCTTGGTTAAGTTGAACAATTTACACAACTGTTCTTCTCTTTCAGACAAACGCATACAAAGCGAAGTCAAAACCAACTGCCTAGCTGTGCAGGTAATTGTCACCACGGACAATTCTTTGGATAAGGTTATCAGTCGCAACTTATTTTTGCTGAAGCTTATACACAGCTTATATATACTTATATTACCTTGGTTTTGTTTTTCGATTTATTCACAGCATGAAATACCCATCTTCGAAAGAAACATCAACGAACATCATCGAATTCGAAGGCTGGAACATGCGCAAGGTGGTTTCCAACAGGACTTCCAGCTATTACTCGCTAACAAGCCTCTAGGAAAACAACCGCAGAGTGGTACGACAAATCCAACACTCACAGTGGTCGGCAGAGGCAAAGAGGTCCCATTTTCCTTTCAAAGGATTATCGGATCACTTACTTAATCATAGAACTCGAGCACCGAGTCAACCTGCATCCTTGAGTCAAATCTCTCTTCGTTATTTTACTGGATACCGGCAACTGTACTGGATTTTCGGCGCACGGAATCTAATACCCAAAATCACATACAACTTTTTGGCGTTCTTTCGACAGAGGCAACACACAATGCATCAACGTATGGCAGATCAACCCATCGTACGTAACACGCTTTTCCATTCGTAAACTCTGAATGCGACTATGCAGAACCGATCCATCTAAAGTACGCTAAGGTGCGTAAGCTGCGCATCAGCAAGGACAACATATGCCTATTCGTATGTATGGTCACTTCGGTGATCCATCTTGAACTAAATCTAGCGACAACGGAACAAATTTAATAGGATAGGACTCACGACCCTTATACTTCACGTCGGATACAGATACCAATTATCTGTCACCAGCCCAATTCCTAATCGGGCGGATCTTGGCCACCTTTCAGTGCACCATTTGGGATACTGGCAGAGTATCCAATCTATGTACCAAGGCTTCTGGAAACAATGAAACAACCACGAGTACCTGACAAGTCTTCATCAGCTACCAAAGTGCAGCAAGGAAACACCCAACACCTGGATCGGCAGCGTTGTGCTCGGTATGGAGTCCAACACACCAACAGCATCATGGCACCCAACGAGGGTGATCGAAACCTACCCAGGAAAGGGCAACGTCGTGCGAGCAGTAAGGCTCAAGATGGCATCAGGAGAATCGACCCAGCCAATAACGATAATTGAAGAACTACCTCATTCAGAAACTGTGTTTCATGGTGGACTCACATTGCCACCTTTATACTTTCTATACTTATTAGACTTAAGATCCACTTTCAATGTATACACATTTTGGATAAGTACCACATACGGCAACAATTCAAATTTTTCTCAGTACAAATTAGATAGCAAACAATAAAGAACAATAAAATATACAGTCTACTACAAAAAAAGGTCTACGCATTTAGGATCAGCTTATATAGTTTATAAGGTTGTAGATGTGTCCTTGTAAAAAAATTCTTTTTACTACTATAAAAGAATATAGTAGTAATATAGCCTCACGGCAGGGGTCTTTTTGGACTTTTTAACCAACACTAAAATACCCCATTTTTAAAATTATAAAATAAGGTTATTTTTATTTTTAAAAAAATAACTTGTTACCAAAAAAAATATATAATTTTACACAAGTTATCAAAATTATAGTTCTTACCACGTTTTTGAACATCTTCTCGAATTATTTGTTCAGACAAATTAGTTGGTGTCGCTACAGTCGCTGACGCTGGTGGTAAAGATAAGTGAGTGGTCGTTGAATTGCTGGGATACCAAGCCCATCCCCCAGTTTGACCATTAAACATTCGAAGCTTTTCATATACAGATTCATTTTGTTGCTGGGCTTGCTGCTCCTTCTGAGAGGCCAAGTTGCGCAAGACTCGGTTAATAGACGACACCTGAAATCAATCCCAGTTATGTGAGCTTAAATACACATAAAAAATTAATGTCTTAAGCCTCAGATGCTTAAAAATTATTGAGCGTGATTGGTTCATACTAGTTTACCCATGAATTATTTTATCATAGAGTCAACGTCTTACTTAAACAATAAAATAAAAAGTTTTTTAACGTAATTTTTTGTATTTTTTAATACAATACAAATAGATTGTTTGTATTTGTATCTTGTATTTTATAGATTTTTTTTTTTTTTTTTTTATTTTATTTTAACGTTGCTTTTATTTCTTGAATCTTCTCTTTGCGAGACTAACAAGAGGTGTATCAAATCTTATATTTTTAACTTAACTAACAGTCATATTGACTGATACGGAGTTAGACGGCCCTAAAAATCGATTGCTGGGTTGGGAGGTCGTTGCGTCTAAGGCGGGATACGCTAGAAACCCGAGTCAATCCCCGAGCGAGAAAATTTGGGTGCGAAGACAGTTTTTCTTTGTATGACTCTTTTTGCTTCTGGATTTCGTCTTTCACTGCGAGGATGCCCAGATCCCGGTGGATGTTTTCGTTGCGAACATACCAAGGTGCCCCTGTGATAGTTCTCAGGATTTTTGATTGTGCGCGCTGTATGATGTCTATGTTGCTGCTGCTCGCGTTCCCCCACAGCTGGGAGCCATACGTCCAGATTGGCTTTAGGACTGAATTGTACAGTAGTAACTTGTAGTCTAGGCACAGTGGCGATCGTGAGTTTATGATCCAGTGGAGGCTGCTGGCTTTCAGTTTTAGATGCATCTTTTTGCATTCGATGTGCTTACGCCAGGTAAGTCGTCTATCAAGGTGAACGCCAAGGTACGTTACGTCGTTAGCTTGAGGGATCTGCATACCGTTTAGTAAAAGCGGAGGGCATGTTTGTCTATTAAGAGTAAACGTTATATGTTTACACTTTTGTTCGTTTATTTTAATGCGCCAGTCGGACAGCCACCTTTCCACTATTGTGAGATGATTAGCCAGTTGGGTTGTTGCCTGCGTTGGGCATCTGGAGCGACTAAGAATAGCGGTATCATCGGCGAACGTTGACGTTGTTAGTTGTGCGCTCGTAGGAATATCCGCAGTATACAAAACATATAGACACGGCCCGAGTGCGCTTCCCTGTGGAACTCAATATAGATCGAACGAAGAAATATCGTAGTGCATTATTTGGGAGTTTCTGTATTTCTGCTCTTTTCCGTTGACTTGACTTTTGCTATCTTGTTTTCTGCATTAGACTAATTCGGTCTTGACCACGTTTTAAAATCATTATAATGATACATTTTTTAAATTTTTTTTCGGTTCTGTAGCCAACTTGGCTACATAACTATGTAATCCCGTTGAAGCGTTTGCATTAAATAGCGTTAAATGGAATGGTTGGGTTAAAAAACATACCAAGCTTCTATCCCTAAAGATGCCAAAGTTGGGTCATTTTCAATCGTTTCAATCAATCGTTTCAATTGTAAGGCAGCTATAGGATATAGTCGGCAGAGTCTTATGAAATTTGTTTGGTAGGAACAATTTGAAGAATCCATCAAAGGTATAACATATAAAATTACAAAAATCAAAAAAGTGAGAACTTCTTAACTCTAAAAACAACAAAGTCATGGCATTTCCAATCAATCAGTTATATGGCAGCTATAAAAAATATACTGTGTTTAAAACTTCGATTTAAGCCCCAAAGCATGACTTAGTGATGCGCAACCAACTGATCGCTATACAAATCAGGTGTAAATTAAAAATTTCAGCTTATTCAACGCGTTGCTTGTTCTTTTTTATACCCTTGCAGAGGGTATAATAATGTTGTCCAAAAGTGTACAACGCAGTGAAGGAGACATCTCCGACCCTATAAAAGTGAAATTTTGGCATATTCTTGATCAGGATCACCTCCTGAGTTGTCCGTCTGTCTGTTTCTACGCAAACTAGTCTCTCAGTTTTAAAGCTATCGACTTGAAACTTTGCACACACCCTTCTTTCCTTTGCACGCAGTATATAAGTCGGAACGACCGGGATCGACCCGAGCTATATCCTATAGCTGCCATAAAACTGAACGATCGGAAATAGTTTTTGGTAGAAATACCAACTTTTGTATTTTTGAAGATAGAAGCTTGGGGCTTTTTATACCCTTGCAGAGGGTATTTTAATTTTGGTCAAAAGTGTGCAACGCAGTGAAGGAGACATCTCCGACCCTATAAAGTATATATATTCTTGATCAGGATCACCTCCTGTGTTGATATGAGCATGTCCGTCTGTCAATCTGTCTGTCCGTCTGTCTGTTTCTACGCGAACTAGTCTCTCAGTTTTAAAGCTATCGTCTTGAAACTTTGCACACACCCTTCTTTCCTTTGCACGCAGTATATAAGTCGGAACGGCCCGGATCGGCCGACTATATCCTATAGCTGCCATATAACTGATTGATCGAAAATGGTATAACTTTTTTTTAGGATCACCTGACCAAAAATATAATCTGTACAAAGTTCAAACTTTCTATCTTCAAAAACACGAAAGTTGGGTCATTTCCAATTATTCAGTTATATGGTATCTATAGGATAAAGTCGACAGATCCTTATGAAATTTGACATGACGTATTATTAGCTAAAATAGCATTCATACAAAATTCGAATTTTCGATCAATCAGTTATCGATCAATCAAAATTCGAATTTTCGCCAATTTATGCTGCGTGCAATCTATACTGCGGAAAAAAGGGTGTGTGCAAAGTTTCAAGTCGATAGCTTTAAAACTGAGAGACTAGTTCGCTTAGAAACAGACAGGCAGACGGACATGCTCATATCAACTTAGGAGGTGATCCTGATCAAGAATATATATACTTTATAGGGTCGCAGATGACTCCTTCACTGCGTTGCACACTTTTGGACAAAATTATAATACCCTCTGCAAGGGTATAAAAATGAGTGAAAACTAGTCACATAAAGTGGGATATACTGTTACTAAACGCTCTTTTTCGAGACCGTTTCCGAACATTTTCCGAGATTTTTGTCATTTCTCGCTGATTTACATCATAAGTAAGTCACGAGCATTCGTTTAAATATCTCTCTGGGCATACGTACACACGTACATACACATAAAAGTGTACATACAAACGGGTTAAAGTTGTGATCCCGTGGAGCCTATTAGAGATAGAACTATCCCAATTGGAACTTGGACTCCTATGGTATTCACGTAGTTCCAGTTTATGTAAACATTTTGTAGCGCCCACTCGTCATTTCAAACAAGTTTTTTGGAAGTTTGGAACTCTTTTTAAATTTTGTGTCCAGACAAATTGATTTAAAAAAGAATCATCGATCTTAACTGTAAAGGTACATATATAAACTTCGAATCCGCCCGAAGTTAGCTTTCTTTTCTAGTTTTTTACTCATTTTTGGTTCAGTTGTCGGGCTCCATTTTGTGGATTGGGTGAGTTGGTCGTTAGCCAATCATGCTTCTGTAACGAATTAAAAGGGTGAGTTAAATATGCAGGGGGCAATCAAATTTGAAATGATTCATATAACAGATAGGGCAAAAGTGTTCAACTTGCACAATTTTTTACATATTGGTCAAATTGTGACATGTTTTCCAAAAACATACCTTTTTATTTTGCATAAAGACTTTTATGATATTCACGCAGCTCAAATTCGTTTCTAATTTTGACCACGCCCCTATCGGCACAAGAAATTACATTATTGTATCGCCAGCATAGAAAAAAGTTTTAAAAAAGGGTTGATGCCAAACTATTTCTGTGGCTTATTTATATAAACAAAAAATGTTAGAACTAGGATCTAAAAAATATGAATAAAAAACAAGAAAGGAAAGCTAACTTCGGGCGGAGTCGAAGTTTATATACCCTTGCAGATAAAACCGGATATATATCGCAAACATCGGATATAGTTGGCCGATCCTTATGGGAATAGGAATATATAATCCAATTTATTACAATACAAAATCTAAAAAAAGTCCCAAACTTCTATCTTCAAAAATACGAAAGTTGATATTTCTACCAAATACCATTTCCGATCGTTCATTTATATGGCAGCTATAGGATATAGTCGGCCGATCCTAATGAAATTTGGTGGAAATCAACTGACCAAATATATAATCTGTACCAAGTTCCAGCTTTCTATCTTCAAAAACACGAAAGTTGGGTCATTTCCGTTCAGTTAAATGGCAGCTTTAAGATATAGTCGGCCGATCCCTATGAAATTTGGCATGTCGTAATGTGTTGCCAAAAATAGCTCTCATGTTAAATTTGAAGTCTCTAACTCTTAAAACACCAAAGTTATACCATTTCCGATCAATCAGTTATATGGCAGCTATAGGATATAGTCGGCCGATCCCGGCCGTTCCAACTTATATACTGCGTGCAAAGGAAAGAAGGGTGTGTGCAAAGTTTCAAGTCGATAGCTTTAAAACTGAGAGACTAGTTTGCGTAGAAACAGACAGACGGACAGACGGACATGCTCATATCAACTCAGGAGGTGATCCTGATCAAGAATATATATACTTTATAGGGTCGGAGATGTCTCCTTTACTGCGTTGTACACTTTTGACCAAAATTATAATACCCTCTGCAAGGGTATAAAAACTATACTAGACAGAGCTATCTGATTTGGTACGTAAATTCCGTAAAAGTTGGTTGTAAAGCGATAGGGGACATAATTAACTGACATTTCGCCTGCTCCACTAGACTTTCACTATCCTTTTCGACATGTCTTAAGTGGAGCTCGCATTTTTTATGCTGGATCATATTTTTCTTTCACTTGTAATTACTATAGGAGATCAACAAATAATATTTTTCACTTGGGCTGACGTTCTTCCTTCCTGTAATACTTTTAAATCACATTTTGTCTCTCGGCAAGATAGTTTTCAACACGTAATTTATTGCCAGGACCAAATGATAAGAAAGAATCTAAAGAGTGAAAAGACTGTTGGAAAAAATACTAAAGTATTAAGGATTAACGAGACAATATTGACATGTTTCAAAAATGGTACCGTTTCTTGTAAGTTGTACCGAAAAAATGGCGTCAAAGTCCAAACAAACACGAACAAAATTCCAAAATGTCTTTTTTAAGACATGTAAGACATTTTTTTTTCAAAAGCTATAACATTTAACTAATTAGTAACATTTAATTAGTAATCGTCGAACTATATCCAATATTTGCGATATATATCCGATCTTAACTGCAAGAGCATATCCACTTCGGCTCCGCCGGAAGTTAGCTTTCCTTTATTGTTAAATCTATATACTACATATGTATACTTGTATACGTGGGTAAGCGAACACAGTAATTAAGGAACATGGAAAATGCCACTTTAACAGTATGTTTAAGTGTCGCCACGTGTGCCTGCCATATGCTGTAAATTTGTTCATTCTTTGTTAACACTGAATAAAATTTTTGGTCTTCTGACTTTAAGGAATGGTAGTACCTTCGTATTTTTTAAGAAAAAGATCAAAGAAAGTTTGAAAATTTCACATTTATACCCCTGCAGAGGATGAAGGAAGGCGACATCTCCGACCCCATAAAGTATATACATTCTTTATCAGAATCACCTCCTGAGTTGATATTTGGATGTCTGTCTGTCTGTTTCTACGAAAACTAGTCTCTCAGTTTTAAAGCTATCGATGGCCGGCCGTTCCGTGTTATATGCTGCGTGCGAAAGAAAGAAGGATGTGTACAAAGATTAAAGTCAGTAGCTTTAAAATTAAAAGTTCGGGTCGAAGCAGACAGAGACTGAGACTGGCCGTATATTAACTCACGTGACACTTATTAGGAAGATAGTATATGTAGGGTCGGAAATGTTTCCTTAACTTAGGTGCACTCTTTTGACCAAAAATAAAATACCCTCTGAAAGCGTATAAAACTCAACAAAAATGCATCGCAACAACAAAATTAATATAGAATAGCGCGATTGAGAAGAATAAACAAAACATACAAAATTGCTCTTGTAATTAACCTTTGCCTAAGCTGCGAGCAAGACGATTTTTCTTTTCTTATATCAAAGAGAAATCCAACAACAAAGGAGGAACGAGAGCAATGGAGTTGGCATACCTTTTTTAAAAGCTACATAATTGAAATTTTGACAAAGCCCTGATAGATAAATTTTGAATGTGATAACTTTAAAACTCAGGCATTTAGATTTACATATACATATACTACGGTCAATGAAATGTGCAGTTAAAGTCGGTAGCTTTAAAACTTGAGCTTTCGTAGAAACCTTTATTCTTATTTCATCCTGGATCCTGATTAATATTACCAACACTTTTGCCCTCAATCAATTTGAAACCAACTTACTTGCACATGGAAAAAAGACTTTTTAGACTTTTTTAATAGTCTCCCAAAGGCAAACGGTCCTGGGAGGAGTAGAGCAAAAGGCAACAGGAAATATTGCTCGTGATTCGGGCGAAAGCAAAATTTTTATACGAACAATGCAAATGGTTGGTTTTAGAATTTTTGGTCAAAGACACAACACTTATGTATTTTAAGACCCCACCAATCGGTTAACAGTTATTTGCGGGCTATGTTTTAAACAATACAAATTTACCCCGTCGGATTTCTGAAAAAATTCAAAGCTTCTTTCTTTAAAATAACCAAATGTGTTTCAATTTTTCAGCTATGTTATACATACATATATGTACATAAGTAATGTATGTAAAATACCTCACAAATAAGGGGCCGTAATAATTTACATAACTTTATATGTATATTTTATTAATAATTTTTGCCATAATATAATTTTTTAAAGTTTTTTTTTTTTAATTTACGTGATGTTTTGTGCTTCAGGTTTATCCGGAGGCTGGCAATTTTAAATCATCTGCAACTAAAATCCATTGGAAAATCATAAAAATGTATTTTTGGAAAAATACATACTTATTAGTTAGCGTTAACATTTTGAATTTCCTTAATTTGATTCTTCTTATTTACGCCATAGAAGATGTACCAATTTAATTAAAACTATCTACACTATATTGTTATTTCACAATTTAAAACCTTCCAGATAGATACCTGAACTTACCAGATATTTATTTATGTACATAAAAATACTCACAAGAAAACTCACAAGAGTCACAAGAAAACGAATCGAGAAGCCAAAACCGACCGACCAAAGCATACAACTTATTTAAGCAATAAAAGGCAGATAGTTTTCATCAACGCATTGGGGTTAATCATAGCAACATGACGAATATGTATGAACCATTTTGGAATTATACACACATATAATTATTTAATATAGTCTTATTATAAAAACGGTGTTTATGAGTCAATAGTCCATTTTTTCGCTCCCGACCAACACTTTTCCCTCTCTTTCTGATCTCCGATCTTTCATCGTATTAAGCGTTCCTGTTAGTCGAAAGAAAAAACCAATATGCATAGGACATGCATCAAAGGGCCGCACTATAGGAAATTTAACCACTTTTTCTGGGCGAAAACAATTTTTTTTAAAGTTAGACTTAAAGCATTTTCGTCTGTCTGTCTTTTTCTACGCAAACTTGTCTCTCAGTTTTAAAGCTATCGACTTGAAACTTTTCACACACCCTTCTTTCCGCAGTATATATTGCACGCAGCATATAATTCGGAACGGCCGGGATCGGCGGACTATATCCTATAGCTGCTTTCGTGTTTTTGAAGATAGAAAGCTGAAACTTAGTACAGATTCTATTTTTGGTCAGTTGATCCAACCTTCCAAATTTCATAAGGAGTAATATGACAACTATAGGATATAGCCGGTTAATCCCGGCCGTTCCGACTTATATACTACGTGCAAAGGAAAGTAGGGTGTGTGCATAGGTTCAAGGCGAAAGCTTAAAAACTAAGAGACTAGTTCGCGACAGACAGACAGACTGTCTGCTCGGATTCGACTTTTGTTGGTCAAATACCATTAAATTTGCTTTTTGCTTTTTGAACAAATATTTTTTTGCCCTTAGAAAAACAGCAGGAAAGATTCCGGGCAGGATGCTAAGTACTTATGGGTCTTCTCTATTAATTCCATTAATGTATGTTAAATTACGTAATTATCTAAGGAAAGAAAATAACTTACACTGGGAATGTTATCGCTATTGCAAACTTGTTCCGATAGAAGCCGATCCCGAATTTCCCAGGCAAATATGCTGGGGCATTCCCTTTTATAATCAGCAATTTTCTGAACGACTGGTGTCGTGGCTACCCGCGGTTTTGAACCACCTATCGCACGGGGCTTAATTGATCCTGTTTCATAATATCTAAAAATATAAAAGGTTTTGAAAGGGGATTTTCAAGTATGTAAATATAAAAAATTATGACTAACATATGCTAGTATTACGATAAATGATTACACAGGCCAAGAGACAAATTTAAGTTTTTGTTTTTCATAGCGATGGTTTACAGTAACTGCAAAATAGGTCTAAAATTCCGTTTTAATAATAAGTCCGAAACTTAATATATGTTTGTGTATATTTCCATATATATATATAACCAAGTTATAATAGTACAAGAACGATACAATAATAATCGCGATAACAATAATCTGGCAAGGCTCAACTATTTAAACTCCTATTCTTGATCAGGATCACCTCCTGAGTTCATATGAGCATGTCCGTCTGTCTGTCTGTCCGTCTGTCTGTCTGTCCGTCTGTCTGTTTGTACGCAAACTAGTCTCTCAGTTTTAAAGCTATCGACTTGAAACTTTGCACACACCCTTCTTTCCTTTGCAAGCAGTATATAATTCGGAACTTGATTAATCGGAAATGGTATAACTTCGGTGTTTTTAGAGTTAGAGATTTCAAATTTGGAACGAAAAATATTTTTGGCAAAATTTTTTGACGTGCCAACTTTCATAAGGATCGGCCGACTATATCCAATAGCCCAAAGTTAGCTTTCCTTTCTTATTTTTTTCTTGTTTTATGAAAAAAAAAACCAAAAAAAAAAAAAAAGGAAAGCTAACTTCGGGCGGAGCCGAAGTTGATATACCCCTGCAGTTAAAACCGGATATTTATCGCAAACATCGGATATAGTTGGCCGATCCTTATGAGTATATGATAATATAACCCAATTCATAAAAATATAAAATCTAAAAAAAGTCCCAAACTTCTATCTCTAACAATACCAAAGTTGGTATTTCTACCAAAAAACATTTCCGATCGTTCAGTTATATGTCAACTATAAGATATAGTCAGCCGATCGTTATGAAATTTGGTAGGTTGGATTAACTGACCTGATTAACTAACTGATTAACTGAAAAATTTAATCTGTACCAAGTTCCAGCTTTCTATCTTCAAAAACACGAAAGTTGGGTCATTTCCGATCGTTCACTTATATGGCAGCTATAGGATATAGTCGTCCGATCCTTGTGAAAACACCGAAGTTATACCATTTCCGATCAATCAGTTATATGGCAGCTAAAGGATATAGTCGGCCGATTCCGGTCGTTCCGACTTATATACTGCGTTCAAAGGAAAGAAGGGTGTGTGCAGTCGTTAGCTTTAAAACTGAGAGACTAGTTTGCGTAGAAACAGACAGATGGACAGAAGGACAGACGGACATGCTCATATCAACTCAGGAGGTGATACTGGTCAAGAATATATATACTTTATAGAGGCGGCGATGTCTCCTTCACTGCGTTGCACAGTTTTGACCAAATTTGTAACACCCTCTGCAAGGGTATAATTTGAATGATGATATAATTTATTTAAAATAATTGAAATGTAAGTTATATATTTAAATAATTTGAATCATGGTGGTTTTTTTTAGTGCGGATTTAACTTAATTTTTGGGAACTTTGTGTAAAAATTTATCCACGCCCTCAATGGAAATCTTGTTATAGCGCCAGTTCCAACCATTTTTTGGAAAATGTTTTGATGTTAAACTATTTCAAAGCCTAATGCCTTTCATACAAATAAAAATTCATCCCAATCGGGCTTATAAATTTTTAAAACATTTTTTGCTGAGAATCCTGACTATTTAAGCATGTGCACGGCACTTGCTAAATTTAAAACTGATGGAAATAATTTATATCGATGTCTGTGTGAATATATTGTGAATATATATCAGTGTTTAGGTCTACGTACATGTATGACGTTCATAGCTGGTTCAATTCTGAATCTACAGCAGTTTCCCTTTTTTTTCTTTTTTCCGCACTAAAGGAGCAATACGCATTTTCCCACGCAACCTCAAGGTTTTCAGAGTAGAACAATTCCAGCTTCAGTGGTAACGTTTTTCACCCATAAAAACTTTATCTTGAACTACTTAAATGTTTTTGATCAAATCGGGGCAAAATTAACAAAATATAAAACATAGCAAATAATAATATAAAGTATAAATAATTATAATAAATAGTAATATAAAAAATATAATAAGCATTTTGTTTAAAAAAAATCTTTAGCCTACAAATTTTTGGAGAAATTCGAACATAAAATTTTTTTTTATTATATATTAAATTTGGGAGCCAAGCTTTTTTGGGCGTAGTGGAGGCTTGGCGTGTCAATTAATACAATGAACATTGGGATATAGAATATAGTCGACCAATCCCGGCCGTTCCGACTTACATATATACTGCGTGCAAAGGAAGGAAGGGTGTGTGCAAAGTTTCAAGATAGCTTCAAAACTGACAGACTAGTTCGCGTAGAAACAGACAGACGGACAGACAGACAGACAGACGGACAGAAGGACAGACGGACATGCTCATATTAACTCAGGAGGTGATCCTGATCAAGAATATATATACTTTATAGGGTCGGAGATGTCTCCTTCACTGCTTTGCACACTTTTGACCAAAATTATAATACCCTCTGCAAGGGTATAATGATCCTCCGATCATAAAGAATTCTTATGAGAATTTTAATATAGGATCAATTTATTTAATATTTAATAATTTAAAACAAGAAAGGAAAGCTAACTTCGGGCGGAGCCGAAGTCAATATACCCTTGCAGTTAAAACCGGATATATATCGCAAACATCGGATATAGTTGGCCGATCCTTATGGGAATATGAATATATAATCCAATTTATTACAATAAAAAATCTAAAAAATGCCCGAAACTTTTATCTTCAAACATACCAAAGCCGATCAATCAGTTATATGGCAGCTATAGGATATAGTCGGCCGATCCCGGTCGTTCCGACTTATATACTGCGTGCAAAGGAAAGAAGTGTGTGTGTGCAAAGTTTCAAGTCGATAGCTTTAAAACTGAGAGACTAGTTTGCGTAGAAACAGACAGACGGACATTCTCATATCAACTCAGGAGGTGATCTTGATCAAGACTTTATAGGGTCGGAGATGTCTCCTTCACTGCGTTGCACACTTTTGACCAAAATTATAATACCCTCTGCAAGGGTATAAAACCATTATTATTATTATTATAAATTATTATAAATAAAGGGTATTATTATAAATTGGGTTATATTATCATATTCTCATAAGGATCGGCCAACTTTATCCGATGTTTGCGATATATATCCGGTTTTAACTGTAAGGGTATATCAACGCCCGAAGTTAGATTTCCTTTCTTGTTCGTAATTGGATCCACTGAAAATGGGGTTTTCCCATATGGGGTCCACTGTGGTGGCTATATCTTCCCCATCCTGAGATTAAATATTTTTTAAAATTTTTGTACATTTTTTTGTGATGAAAAATGAGGTTTTCCCCTATAGGGTTCACAGTGATGGCTATATCTTCCCCAACTCTCATCCGATTCTCAAGCGGAGTTCCTTAAACGATTTCTAGATCAATTCTGCACCATTCTGCATAAAATTCCTAATATATTATTATATTAGGCAAAATATTTTTTACATTTTTTGTTTTTTTACAATTTTTCGTGTCGGGATCCCTGAAAATGGGGTTTTCCCCTATATAAACCACAGTGAACTTGCAAATGAGCGTCACTTGCAAGCATTGCAAACAAAAAATAAAAACACGTGTAGACATTAACGCAATTTATTGCACGAAATAGCCAAAAGTTTGAGTGCAAAACAAAAATTGATTGAAGCAAGAAATTTTCTTGCAATATTTGCATAGGTGTAAACATTTGTGCAAACTTTTGCTGCAAATTATTTTCAACTTGCTGCAAATTGTTTGCATCGTGTGTACCTAGCTTTACATCCCCAAAATCTTTAATTATTTAGAAAAAACGGTTTTTTGGGACTTTTTTGCTCTTAAAAATTCCTGAACGCCTAATTTTAAGCCGATTTTAAAATTCCGACGTTTTTCAATAGGTAAATGTTGTAGCTTTTGAGAAAAAATATATCTTACATTTTTTTAAACAAAAAGGATCAAATTTTAACACAAGAAACATTTCGAATTTTTGTCGTTTTTTCCGACTTTGACGCCATTTTTTCGGTACAAAAAATGGTATAATTTTTGACACAAATCAATATTGTCTCATTAATCCTGAATAAAACGAGACCAATTTTATTAAAAAATTATGAAAACTGTTGAAGTTATAACTCTTTTCCCAAAACTAGTTAGTGTAATCTTACTAGCGTTTCGGAGCAATAGTGTGCCCTTCCATTTCGCTTATTCCTTTCTTTTACACACTTTTACTCCGGAGCGCTAGTAAAATTGCACTGACTTGTTTTGGGAAAAGCGTTATAAGTTCAACCAATTTCTTAATTTTGTAATGAAATTGGTCTCGTTTTATACAAGATTAATGAGACAATATTGATATGTATAAAAAGCAAGAAAGGAAAGCTAACTTCGGGCGGAGCCAAAGTTAATATGCCCTTGCAGTTAAAACCAGATATATATCGTATCGTATCGATCCTTATTAGTATATCATAATATGAACAATTTATTACAATACAAAATTTAAAAACAAGTCGTCCGATCATTATGAAATTTGGTTCGTCGTATTATTTTGTCAAAAATAGAATTCATGCAAAAATAGCATTTCGAACTCTCTAACTCTAAAAACACCAAAGTTATACCATTTCCTATCAATCAGTTACATGGCAGCTATAGGATATAGTGGCCGACCCCAGCCGTTCAGACTTACAGATATACTGTGTGCAAAGAAAAGAAGTGTGTGTGCGAAGTTTCAAATCAATAGCTTTAAAACTTAATGGACACACAGATGGACATGCTCATATCAACTCAGGAGGTGATACTGGTCAAGAATATATATACTTTATAGAGGCGGCGATGTCTCCTTCACTGCGTTGCACAGTTTTGACCAAATTTGTAACACCCTCTGCAAGGGTATAATTTGAATGATGATATAATTTATTTGAAATAATTGAAATGTAAGTTATATATGTAAATAATTTGAATCATGTTGGTTTTTTTTAGTGCGGATTTAACTTAATTTTTGGGAACTTTGTGTAAAAATTTATCCACGCCCTCAATGGAAATCTTGTTATAGCGCCAGTTCCAACCATTTTTTGGAAAATGTTTTGATGTTAAACTATTTCAAAGCCTAATGCCTTTCATACAAATAAAAATTCATCCCAATCGGGCTTATAAATTTTTAAAACATTTTTTGCTGAGAATCCTGACTATTTAAGCAGGTGCACGGCACTTGCTAAATTTAAAACTGATGGAAATAATTTATATCGATGTCTGTGTGAATATATTGTGAATATATATCAGTGTTTAGGTCTACGTACATGTATGACGTTCATAGCTGGTTCAATTCTGAATCTACAGCAGTTTCCCTTTTTTTTCTTTTTTCCGCACTAAAGGAGCAATACGCATTTTCCCACGCAACCTCAAGGTTTTCAGAGTAGAACAATTCCAGCTTCAGTGGTAACGTTTTTCACCCATAAAAACTTTATCTTGAACTACTTAAATGTTTTTGATCAAATCGGGGCAAAATTAACAAAATATAAAACATAGCAAATAATAATATAAAGTATAAATAATTATAATAAATAGTAATATAAAAAATATAATAAGCATTTTGTTTAAAAAAAATCTTTAGCCTACAAATTTTTGGAGAAATTCGAACATAAAATTTTTTTTTATTATATATTAAATTTGGGAGCCAAGCTTTTTTGGGCGTAGTGGAGGCTTAGCGTGTCAATTAATACAATGAACATTGGGATATAGAATATAGTCGACCAATCCCGGCCGTTCCGACTTACATATATACTGCGTGCAAAGGAAGGAAGGGTGTGTGCAAAGTTTCAAGATAGCTTCAAAACTGACAGACTAGTTCGCGTAGAAACAGACAGACGGACATACTCATATCAACTCAGGAGGTGATTCTGATCAAGAATATACATATATACTTTATAGGTTCGGAGATGTCTCCTTCACTGCGTTGCACACTTTTGGACAAATTATAATACCCTCTGCAAGGTTATAATGATACCATTTTTTGGAAGTTGTACCAAAAAATGGCGTCAAAGTCCGACAAACACGACAAAAATTCAAAAATGTCAGTTTTTTGTGTAAAATTGTTACCCTTTTTGTTTTAATTAATTTAAGATCTATTTTTATCAAAAGCTACAACATTTAAATATTAAAAAACGTCGGAAATTTTAAAATTCGCTTAAAATTACGCGTAAAGGAATTTTTAAGAGCAAAAAAGTCCCGAAAAACAGATTTTTCTAAATAATTAAAGATTTTGAGGGTGTTAGAAATATTTCAAACACGGTTTGGTCTATATTCGACCTAATAAACAATTCCTACTAGGTCTCTTCAAAAGTTCCAAATCACTGTCGCACTGTGTTATTTATATAACTCAACAGCTGATCACTTTTTCCGAAAATTTTGTGAATGTGGTAAACTAAATTAATTGTTGAGTTTCTGATTAAAATACATATAAATAGTAAAAGTTCCATAGAGTTGTTCCACTTCCATAGAATTAAATATGTTGTCCAGTTTTTGCAAATAATTTTGCAAACAAGTAAAAAAGCCAAAATGCATCACTACTTCTATTTTTTTACAAAAGGTAAATAAATTTAAAAAATAAAAGAAAGTGTATTTTTTTTTTTACATACATATAACTACCAACATACCTTTTTTTTACATACGTGCTCATATGTTTAACTTTATAACTACCAAAAAAAAAAAATATAATCCGGAAAATCAGGGTGCCATAAAATGACATGTAGAGGGATATTATAACCGGTACTTATCTCTTCTACCAACGAATTAATTAACTTTTAAAGTTGAATCTTCTACGGTATGGATTCTAAGCAGCATACTAGCGATTCAGTGAGGAAAGAGACTAAAAAGTCTAAAATTCCTCCACAAATTATCCAATTTGGCTGCTTTTTGAATGCTTGGTGGTGTTTTTAGAGTTAGAGAGTTTAGATTTCATACGAAATCTTTTTTTTTTGGCAAAATAGTACGACATACTACATTTTATAAGGATCAGTCGACTATATGCAAGTTATAGGTGTAGATTCGCTATTGAAAAAGTTTGGTACCAAAACAGTTTCCAAAAACATTAAAAAAAAAATTTCTGTTTTGTAGGCGGGAGTGGTCGTGGCAAAATTTTGACACAAATTTAATGTGCGCGATTACCTTACGAGTTGAAGTTTCAAATCGGATAGCTCTATGTTTTATAGTCTTCGAGATCTATGCGTTTAAAATATTAGCCAGTTGGTATGGGAAATGGTATATATGTATATGGGTATCGTCTCTTAAAATCGACCGATTCGGATGAAATTTGTTCTTCAGATATAAATTAACTAAAGAAATAGTTGGCCATCAAAAGTTTTAAAAAACCTTCCAGTACTGGCGCTACAGAATTTCGCAATTTTTGTGAACGGGAAGGGGGCGTGGAAAAATATAGAAAGAAAATTGAACTGCGGGGGCATTGTAGGAGTCTTCATGCCAAATCCTAAAGCCCTATTTATTATAGTCTCTGAGATTCTATAATTCTATAGTCTACGCGTTCATACGGACGGATGGATAGACGGACATGGCTATATCGGCTCGGCTGTTGATGCTGATTAAGAAAATGTATACTTTGTGGGGTCGGCAATGATTCCTTCTCTATGTTAAATTCATACACACGACTACAATATACCCTTAAATTCTACGAGTACCGGTTAAAGTCTACACAGGTTACGAGTTGTTTGAGTGTATCTCACCTTCCCAAAATTTTGCTTACGCAACCATTTGAAACTTGCAGTATTCTTGAAATATCACATGGACGAGCGCCGGAATGTGCCAATTCCACAATTTTTTGACGGGTAGAATCAGGCAATGGTCGGCCATTGACATAGACACCGCCTAGTTGATTAATGCCACTGTGACCCGCCGTGGAGCAACCAAAAATTGTACTCTGGCTAACCGATGAATGCGGATGCCCGTGCATAATGTGTTCAGTAGTTAGCATCATTATTAAAATTTGAATTTAATATTGACCGATTTAAAACTATAAAATTTTATTTCGTTGTCAGATTTTTGTACTTGTGTTTTTATTTGTCACTTAGATATTAATCACTAAATTATCACAAATAAAATGTGTTTCCGTTGATTTTGACGTGAGTGTTATCGATTTCGGCGGGATCTGAATGTTATCCCATTATTTGTACCGTTATGTTTATTAACTTTCACTTTGAATGTTAGTTTCGGTCAATCCAAATTATAATTAAAAATAATAAATAACACATAGCGTATTGATAGCAAACATCATCTGGAGGGAAAACATGTGCGCGGGCTCCGACCTAGTTTATTAATTCCAGAATAAATTGCATTCAAAATGATCAAATCGTAACGATCCTATCGGTTTTAGTTTGGTCTAAAGAAAATTTCCTTTTGCAAACTGGTTTCAGTGGCGAGGCGCGCACTTAGCCAAGCGAAACGTTAATGAGCTCTCATGCGAAAAAATACTGGCAAGAGCAACGGCGAAACGTCGGTCAGCCATTTTACAGGGATGTTATGTTTGTCCCTTTCTTTCTAGCAAGAGCTATTAAGACATGAAGTCTTTATTCATGTATTAAAACGAGATGACTGTATCTGCTAAAAAAAAAAAATAAAGAAATAGAAGTACACCGCTTGGCGCTGCAGTTGACGAATGAGCATAAGGCAGAAAAGAGACGACTGTAGTGTGTTTATGAGGAAAAACTCCTCCCCATCCTGTGAAAACACTTTAAAGAGTTCGTTGGTTGGTTAATAAAATGAAGGAAACTTTAACTTTATGAGTCCCGAGTTTCATATAGATTTAGATATGAACATACGCCTTACATAATATGATACACATATATTTATCCGTATGAGAATCCATATATAGATACATATATAAACGTAAATATTTTTATTAGTTAGAGATAAATTGTGGAAAAAAATTTTTTTAAGTAAACTCACTCTAACAAAAAAAAATATAATAGTCATAATAATACTCAAAAATAAACAGTTCAAAAGATTAGTATTACAATTAAATACATTTGTAAATGTATGTATGTATGTGAATAATTAACAATTGAATGTATTACAATAAATGTGTACATATACATAGATATGTATACATACACATAGTATATAGTATATTTGTATTTATACTATACTAGTAAATACTATGTATTTACAACAATATCTATATAATATGAATATTAATAATATGACTTCCAAATATAATAATATTATACATTTTAATACCAAAAAGGTTTTATTGTAAACTTTATATGGTTAAAATTATTTTTTTTATTTCTTTTATACTCTTACACAAGGATGAACTTTCCATACTTGCAGGAGACGGTTCCCACCACCAAGTATAAGTACGCAGGTTCTTACAACCACCCTCAAAATGCTGGCAATAAGCTTACTCGCACTCAACATGCTGCTCGACACGTTTTTGGGATTTTTGAACTCACACGGACCAACAAACACCCCTTTCCACCGCAGCCGTTTCCCATTATTATAGTGCCGGCATCCAGTCGGTTTGATTCTTCAAAAGAGAATATTTCGGAACAGAGTTTTGTCATTCCTATTGCGTGTGTCAAAAATTTCATGGAGCATTGTAAAGGTGGCGAATCGTATTTTTCTGGAATGTGTGAAGAATTGTGCATTTTTAATTATAAAGGGTGTGAATTTTTCAAAATTAAATCAGAAAACCTTTAAACTTTCAAAGAACACACTCTAACAATTTAAATTTGTTTCCTCCACGCAATAATTTAAACTGCTCCATAACCTTTAGGCTAATCTGAACCAAAGTCTGAAACAAATATAGGTTTCATCACCCGCAGTTTCCGCGGTACACCTTAGAGAAAAATTTATAAAATGTCATACATACATATATTAAATTATGTAGGCCGTGTAATTCCGTTACCTATCAATGTTTTTAGACCATCATTACGTTGACCAAATCTCATTTCTTTTAAATGTCATGGCTTCTCTTTTAAATGTTAACACCTGAACTTAAATTTTAATAAGGCTTAGTAGATTTATTAATAGCTTAGCGTTTTAGGTATCCACGACATTAAAAAAAAAGTGAAATTACAAACTCAAATTTAATTAACGAATTATTGTTTTTATATAATTTATTATAATTACTACTATAAATAATTAAATGTATAAAATCGGAGATTGCAACTTTGGATGAGCATTTTATACTATATTTGTCCAAAAAAGTGCAACGCAATGAAGGAGACATCTCCGACCCTATAAAGTATATATATTCTTGATCAGGATCACCTCCTGAGTTGATATGAGCATGTCCGTCTGTCCGTCTGTCTGTCCGTCTGTCTGTCCGTCTGTCTGTCCGTCTGTCTGTCTGTTTCTACGCGAACTAGTCTCTCAGTTTTGAAGCTATCGTCTTGAAACTTTGGACACACCCTTCTTTTCTTTGCACGCAGTATATAAGTCGGAACGGCCCGGATCGGCCAACTATATCCTATAGTTGCCATATAACTGATTGATCGGAAATGGTATAACTTTGGTGTTTTTAGAGTTAGAGAGTTCAAATTTGACACGAGAGCTATTTTTGGCAAACCATTACGACATGTCAAATTTCATAAGGATCGGCCGACTATATCTTATGGCTGCCATATAACTGAACGATCGGAAATGACCCAACTTTCGTGTTTTTGAAGATAGAAAGTTGAAACTTAATACAGATTCTAGTTTTGGCCAGTTGATCCAACCTACCAAATTTCATTAGGATCGGCCGACTATATCCTATAGCTGCCATATAACTGAACGATCGGAAATGGTTTTTGGTAGAAATACCAACTTTGGTACTTTTGAAGATAGAAGCTTGAGACTTTTTTTAGATTTTGTATTGTAATAAATTGGATTATATATTCATATTCCCATAAGGATCGGCCAACTATATCCGATGTTTGCGACATATATCCGGTTTAAACTGCAAGGGTATATAAACTTCGGCTCCGCCCGAAGTTAGCTTTCCTTTCTTGTTTATAACAAATTTCAACTTCTGTAGAGGAAAACTTTATGAAGGTCGCCTCGGCCCGCAAAAAGCGTATATTTGGGGTAAACTATGCTTCGTTTACTGCAGAGTTCTGCAGTGTTTGATCACACTTTTAGAGGTATATGTGTTCCGGCAAATGTTCCGAGATGGACTTTACATTTATAGAATGTATCATTAAAAATTGTTGCAACGCTGCTTCTAAAAAATGGAAAAAATCGAATAGATAAGCGTAAGGAGCGTTTCGTAAGGAAGAACTCGGGTTCGTTAACCGAACATTTGGTTCTTTTGGATGAACATGGCATATTATAGATATTATATTATAGATTCACTGGGCTTATAGAAAAAGTAGCACTTCCGATGGGAATGATGTACAAAGAAGCCTTACAAGCCCAAAACAAAAATTTTTGAAATTTTTGCTTAAGCCATACACGTAAAAAGTCTTGCCAAAACACAATGGAGGATCTTTTGCATTTATTGTTAGTATCGTCAGATCCACTAAGTACAAGCTTTTCCAAAAGTTCGGCCAATAACTCCAGCATAGCAGTTTCCTTTGAGATTGAAGGCCAAAATATTCTTCTGGACTACAATGCTCAAGAGGAAAATTCGGATTCTGACTCAGAAAAAAAATTTACATTCTAACTAGGACAATAAAAAATAGTTTATTTTTTAAAACTGCATCTTTAATAAAAAAAAAAAAAAAAAAAAAAATTTAATTAAAAAAAATAAGAAATGAAAAATTTTAATTCAATAAAATTACAAAATTTTATTTTTTATTGGGTAAAAAACCCATAAAAATTTCAAACATTTAAAAATTATCATTATTTTTAATGATATTCCTAAATTACCCAACTCGGCCACTGTGTGTTGCACACTTTTGGACAAAATTATAATACCCTCTGCAAGGGTATAAAAACAACTATAGTCAACGCAATTACACGGCCAAATAATTTAATATATGAACAAATTTGATAAATTTCTTCTCTTAGGAAAGAACCGCGGAAACTGGAACCATGATTGTTGGTGACCGTGATGTATGTTTTTTAGGTTCGACAATCGACTTTGGCTCAGAGGAGCTTAAAGGTTATGGAGCAGTTTAATTTAATCGGGACGATTTTTTGCTAGTCTACTGATTTCAAAAACAAAAAAAATTAAGTAAAATCAATAAATTTTTGTCGTGCTCTTCTGTAATTATATCATCATGTAACTTATTGAATTAAACAAAAAAACTTTTTCATAGGGAAATTTTTAGAAATGTTTGGAAAATTGAAGATTTTAACTGTGTATTCCATGTGTATTCCAAAGATATGGTGGTATACATACATACATTTAAAAAATGATATACAATTAAAGCAGTGATGGTAAACGTAATTGCACGGCCTAAATATTTCAATTATCGCAAAATTTTATTAAGTTCTTCTCTGAGGTGTACCGCGGAAACTGTGAGTGATGGAACCTATGTTTGTTCTGTACATTGGTTCAGGGGAATATAGAGGTTCTAGAGCAGGTTAAATTTATACACCATATATACACCATTTGGCACAAAAGTTTCTATATACTGTTTGTATGTATTTTTGACCAACATTATAATACGGTCTGTAAGAGTATAAAAAGGAAAGCTAGCTTCCAACTTCATTAATATACCCTTTCTGTTAAGTGAATGCTTATGATATTAGTTAAACATCTGATCGGATATATACAACGTTAACGGCAGCAATGAAAATGTAATATTAAAACCAATTGGTAATGGTAGGGTTCAGAGCCCACAAATTTAGGAGGAACATTTTGCGTGGTAGTGCTGCTTAAGCTTCCCTTTTTCTTTTCCGGTTGAGTAGATAATTGCTCAGTGAAGTGTCTGTCCTGACTAAAATCTAAAAGATTCGTGCTTCAGCTTCAGCCCCTGATGACTACGTCGACCATCCACCACTAAATCCTCATTGTAATTGTCGTCGTCTGGATCCGTTAAGCTAGGGCGCATCACTTTGTTTCGTAAAATTTGTTAATTCGTTCATGTTTTTTGTTGCTCTTGGTGTAAATATAATAAAAGAAGGAATTTTACTAATTTATACGGATAGCTAAACAATGGTAGATAAAATAATAATAAATACAAAGAAATATATATACATATCGGATTTATATCGGAAATACCCGACATACAAAATTAGTCGATCTTTATTAGACTTCAGTATCTTTTAGTTATATGGTATAATATAGAGGCGAAAATTATATGTATACCATTGCAGTTAACATCGGAAAACAATCGCAAATTTTTGATATTGTTCCTAAATTTAAAAGAATTTTTATAATAAAATCAGTTTCTTACAACACAAATTAAAACAAAAACATGGTGATATATAAAAGATAAAGGAAAGATATCGAATTTAAACTTTGAATACCTTTTTGAAACTATTTGAACACCGTCTGACAGTCAA